TGGTTTGTGGATTGTACGTAACCAGCCTGGTTTGTGGATTGTATGTTACAACCCTGGTATAAGTGTAGTAGTTTTAGTACTCTGCTGTGACATGAGGAAGACAATTTTGAAAGTCTGATATGTCCTATGTTTCTGCTTACAGGGATTTAGTTTTAACTGATTGTGTCATATCCAATTGTTTGTCAATACCTTAAATAAGTTGATTTGTAAACAAAATATCAATTAATAATACAAACAGGTATTAAGTGTAAAATGAAAGTTATCGAGGAGTTTTTACCTATAAATTCATTCTCCTGATTTTGTGTCACTTGTCCTAATCTTTATTCGTTCTGAAACATGATGACTAGTTTATCAAGTTTGACATAACTTTATATTTCATCTTTAATTAAGCAGCAAAACGTTGTACACTATTGTCATATTTTGATACAAAATGTCATATTGTATTTGAGGTTGTATGAGAAGTTTTTCTCTAAAACTGATATCTGTCCTGTCCACAATATTGTCAGTGAATTAGAACTTCTGTACTCACTATCCTCTTGAACGTTACATCTGACTTCTGTAGGGACCAACTTGTAATTGACAGGGACAAAAACAGCCCAACTCTTTATTTCTTTGTATCATCATAAAAACAGCTATATTTTTATATCTTAACAGATTTTGTTGCACAGTTTTTGTATCTTTTATGTTCGGAGTCTTTTTGTACAATTTTTTCTCTCAGGGCTAAGGTTACGGAACAGTATTATTATTAGAATATTAATGTCATTGTGCTGTTTTCATGTTTTGTGTTTTGGACTGAAACACATATCCCCAATTAGTGTAGGCAGTTTCTACCACTACAACAGTACTTTTAAAAAAAAGTGCTAGAAATGCATCAGACCTACAGTTAATAGAGCCTGCAATTTATAGAGATCATGCTGAAAGCAAATAAAATTTAATTTCCATGTATACCTTTGTTCAAGGGAAATCTGCTATGTACTTTCTCATTAAATATTCCTTTGATGTGATTAAGTGACATGTGACGGTATAAATAAGAGTCACAAAATCACTTTGTTTCAAGATGAAAGGCATGGCTCAAATTTTTCAATTAAAACAATGTTTCCAATTAATGTTTTCCATTTTACAAGGCAGTCTGATTAGTGCAAATATTCATATTTTTAATTACTGTATTCTTGTTTTGATACAAGGTTTTGTATGACCCATACCTATGTTTCTAAGTAAACTCCTGAGAATGTCAAATTATTCTGACACAAGACAGATTTTTTTTAAAAATGTTGATAAAACATCAGAATAATTCCGACTATTTCCTAAGCAACAGGAGCTTTAATTAGCCGATACTTCATATTAATGCTAGAAAATTCGAAAGGAATTTTGAAAGGTATTTTTGTAGAATGTATAAATCAGTTTCATCAGTGTGTACTGTGCTAAAGTGCTGATGTCACTAAGGTTAGGGCAAATCCTGGTTACTGTACTAGTTACAGATCAGCTGGAGTACGTCCAGATCATATCAATTGTCAGCAACTCAGGAAAAATATGCTGTATTGATAGAAATCCAGTTTAATGAAGCTCTACAGCATTTGTATTTTTCATCCTAAGAGAAGTAATGCTTAAGGGGATTGTTTGCTCAAGGAAAGTTCACCATTTGAAATCATTGATCATCACCTAAAAGATAATTCACAGTAACTCAACACTTATGTAATTGCTCATCAATATTGGGTGTTTGATATCACTATAAAAACATCAGTGCTAAACAGGGGTGTCTCTGTTCTGCTGATGCTTAGAGCACCTGTCATATTTTCTGTAGAATTTCATAGAGTAAGGTGATAGTGTTATTGACCTCTCTGTAACTGATTGAAGCATTGTTACGTATATGGTCAATGAATGATCATGTTTATTTCACAGATAAATGGTAATCGCTGTGGTAACACTCAAAGATGTGATAAACCTCTGTTTTTTAATGAGATTAAAGCTCCACTGAACAGAGTGAAAGATATTATAATGATAGTAATATATAAATGATTGAATTACTGAAACTGACTTTTAAAGTTGTAATAAAGAGTCAGTATTGCTCAATTGTTACTGTGTGCAATTCTAGACTTCTATATACATCAGTGATCATTCTTCTTTTGTTATGTACATGCTCTGATAATTCTCATTTTTTAAAATTAAGGCATGGTCAGTAGTGATATGTAAGGCCAGTCAGAACACACAAGTTTTCATCACAAGTTAGTTTTGTTTGATGTATACATGTTCTTCACTGTAGGGTGCTATGTCATGGTTTAGGCATTTGTTGAATAGAGGGAAATTGGTTGTTACAAATAAACTGCTAGAGATTATCACAGAAATAGAACAAAGGGAACAAATTTAGATCAATGATTTTATTTTCTTGTACCAATCATCATTCACAGATGAAGATACACATGCGAAAATGAGTTTTCTCGTATGCCGTATAGTTGACGTTTGAGTAAATGCTGTAGGATATTTTGATAGGACAACAGCCAGTCTGTGTAAGCTGTCATGCTATTGTTGTAGGTGTAGTTGTATGTGTATGCACATACATGTATGTGTTGTGTGGGTGCATGACCCTGTGTAAGGGGAAAACACATGTAAATGAGTGGGTAAGCAAGCTTACTATATGTATGCTTTGATAAACTAAATGCATTGTAATTACCTATGTTTGTATGTGTACACACTGTGAGCTATACACCTCAGACATTCGCAATATTATTTATTTTTTATGCCCACCCACTTTGTTTTCATAAAGTTCCATTAAATGTGCAATTAATCACATTAACAGTTGATCATGTTATAAAATGTTATGTTTGACTAGTTGATAATATCAGTTAATGGTTCAGCAACTATTTTGTGAAAATAAAACAAATTATTATAAATATTCAATAGTTGTTTTTGTTTCACCTCTAACATAGTTACACTTGTACACACCAAGTAGACACAGATTCTTACACAAGCTTGCAGGTTCCCATTGGCGCTAGTTTTGCTGTTAAGGACTGATCAAGAAAAGAAACTGGCAGAAAAGCTGCCATATTCAATTTTGAAACTGAAATGTTTTTATCGCTTTTTCATGAACAAGATTGTTTTTCTCACTTTATTACTTAAAGGTTCCCATTATCCTTAGTTGTGCTTTTTTTATTTTGGGACTGATCAGGAAAACAAACTGGCTAACAAACAGCCATCTTTGATTTTTAAAATGAAAGTATTTGATAGATCTTTTCTCAAATTTCATATGTAGCTCCTTGTGCCTGAGTAGTGCCCATTTGATTTTGGGATTGATTATAAAGAACAAACTAGGTAACAGATGGCCGTTTTAGATTTTTTTTTTTTTTTACAACAAAAGTTGGTCATTGCCATATTTTAGAAGTATTTAAAGATTTTTCTCTAGTTTTGTATGCAGCTTCACATTGATCCTTGACTGTGCCCATTTAGTTTATGGACTTAAAAGACCAATATGGCAGACAGGTGACCATCTTGGATTATGTGTTAAAATGATCGCAATTTCTCAAATTTCTTATGATTATGAGAGAAAAATGAACAAGAAAAACATAAATGAAGGGAAAAGATCTGACTTTTTTAAAGAACATAATGGGTGCCAATGAAGATCTCTCTGGGATCTCTTATTACAAAATCAGATCTCACTAAAGCACTCGGACAAATTGACCTGATTACGAAATTTTGGTAAAGATAATTTACATTATATTGCCATATTTGGAGTTTATTGTTTTCCATTTCAAACTGGTCTCTCATTAAAGTTATAGTTAATTTTAGGATAGTGTATACGGATGGCCAAAAGGGTACTTGCAATTATATCCTCTATAAATCCATGTAAGTTAAAAGAGAACAAAAAAAGCACAGATATTATAAGAGACTAACACAACTAATGCTAATGTTATAGACGTCTCTGAATACGGGAGGGGGTAGGTATCTGTTTATGTCACTTATAGATATCAAAGAAGGAGGTCTTTGTACTGGAATATTTGCAATATTTTATTTCGTCGGAATTTGTTTTAAGTAAATTGCATATGTTTGTTTTCAAATCATCGTACAGACCTTACAGTGACTTGTATGTTCAAACCAACCGATACCTAAATACTTGTTATATATGCCAGGGACTTAAAATACAAAGGGATAGAAAAGAAAAAAAAAAAACACTAAACAATGTGATAACGTCTCTGGTGATAGCTTTTCGGTCTGTTTACTACCGCGCCAGTGTGAAGAGAAGTTCATTTTCTTAACAAAAATAATACTAATAGATAGAAGTTATGTATCGCAAAAATTACACAGGTCAATCGCAAAATTACACAACTTTTAAATGTCATCAATTTAAAGATGAGTTTCGCCATATTTCAGACAGAAAGTGATATACAACATAGAGTGGTATTTTAGTTGTAAATAGCTTAAATTTGCATTTTGTGTTACAAATATCAAAAGTTGATAGCAATTATTTTTCACAAAAGTTAGCACAATCAATTTTAAAATAATTAAACTTTTTTATTTTGAAAAATTAGATGTGTACTTATAGATTAAAAACAGCAAGGCTAGTTAATTCGCACTTCTTTGCTACAGAGTTACAAAAACGTACAGTTATTTGTCCAGTCTATTTAAAACTCGGTGTTTAAATTCAATTTGAACAGCTATATTAATTTGATTGTTTTATCCCTAAGTAGAACTGTGCAACTCCGCGGCCCAAGATATGTCCGTGGTTTTTGTCGTAGATATCCCCTCAGGACTAATGCTTAGTCATAGGTAGAACAAAAACACACTTCAACATCTTGAACATGATTATCTTTTTTTTTCAATGAGTAAATATATTATTATGACAATTACTGTTGAAAGGAATTTGATTTCTTATTGTTAGAGACCTAAATCTCGAAACAATAAACATTTCCGCCTTGCTTTCGCCGACGGCACGGGTTATCTACCTTAGATATAATCTTTCCCGCCACGCACTGCGATGAGGACTCAAACACGTGAATTCCAAGATGGCTGACAAAGACGAACAAGAAGAGCCGACTCCGGCATCCGACATCGTTGTCACCAAATACAAAATGGCTGGTGACATGGTGAATGGTGAGCACTTGTGTAGAAACAATGTTTTATTATTTTCAAATTAAAATGAGAACTTAATACTCTTAATTACAACCGAATTTAGTGTTTGCTATCTCGGAGTGATACGCCATGCCATGACCATGTGCTTTTAGAATATTGCACAACCAGTTGTTACAGACAATGCCTTTTGGTATAATATTAGACGCCCAGTAGAGTACTAATATAATTGAATGGTATTGACATTCATTTTTTTCTGTTGTATGTATGATGTATAATTTGTGAATCAAATGTTAATTTCGCATATCTCAATATGGCAAGTTCAATGTATCGGATTCGTGAAGGGAGAGGGGGGGGGTGCGGTGTGTCCTTGTTTGGTCGGAGTTTATAAAATACAAATTTACTTTGTGATTTAAAGTTGTTATTACTGATTAAAAGAAAACGAAATTTTAATTATTATTTGGAATGTCTTTACCCGTCCTATGTTCGGACGAAGGAGCCTGTTGATCATAGTTTCCAGGCCTACACACTTATATGGATAATGCTATATGGTCACGGCTAGAGGTTTGTTAACATATAGATTTTACGTTTCGGGGTTTGCTTATGGTGTGTTATCAGCCTCATAGGGTTATTACTATAGACAAAAGCCTCATTGGGGGGAGAAATAAACATATCTTGAGAAAATCCTAATGTGAACCGATCTTGGAATAACCATGCAGAGATTTTGAGGAGGGGGGGTTAAATGGAAGAGATGAGTCACAAGCAATAGTATATCTAAATCTGAAATGAGTTACTTTAAAGGTTAGGAGAAATCGATGTTTGCTGTCTTTCAGCATGGTGATTTTATGTACAAGTTATTTATATGATAAAGGAAAATGTTGAGACAAAATATGTTGCCATTCACAGTGAATTCAGACTTGAATTTTTAAAAATATAGAAAATACTATTTGGTGTGTGTATATTACGGAGATGTAAACACAGCCTTTGTATATCCTTTTTATTATCACATGCCATGTTCAAGGGGTGGGGGGGGGGGGTAAAAAGTTATTTGATAGCAGGAAGCAAAACTATTTTTCTTGTATGACATTTTGGCATTAACTTCCTCTTTGATCTTTTCAGTCTTGCCCAGAACTATTCTGCAATAGACACAGACAACTGTTTTTTAAAATGAGAAAAAGCAATTTAAGATGTTTTTTTGTTTTTTTTTCAGGAATCATTAAAGAAGTTGTTGCAAAGTGTGTTGATGGGGTGTCAGCACTGTCTGTGTGCGAATTTGGAGATAGCCGTTTACTTGAAGAGACCAACAAAGTTTTCAAGAAAGACAAAGAAATGAAGAAAGGTTTGTTTCGAATTGTCATGAAAAGATTATAATCATTAAAAGATACTGTTCATATGTACTGGCCCCCCAAAAAAATCATCACCCATCGAGGCAATGATTTAAGTGATGGCTAACAGTTTTACTCTAAAACTTAGGCATCATCAGGACAGTGTTGTAGAATTTATTACCTAAGGAACTGAAATTGTGAGTTTTTATCTATTTATATAGTCATTAAATGTACAGCTGACAAAATATTGTCCTCAGAGTTAAAAAATATGTTGTCTAATCTATCTTATAAGAAAAAGCTGCCCTTCAGGTCAACTATAAATGAGTAGAAAAATTGTTATGAAATTGGTTTTTTTATTCATTTTACTATCTTTCATATTTCTGGTTACAAAGAAAGCAATTTCCTGAAGTCGTGATTATTTTACAGGTATTGCCTTCCCAACCTGTGTATCTGTCAACAACTGTATCTGTCACTTCTCCCCACTTAAGACAGACACTGAACTGTTACTGAAGAATGGGGATGTCGTCAAAATGTAAGTTTTCAATCCGTCACATGAGAATGTTGTGAAATTGTTAATTAATGTATTTTATTTTTTTTAACCTCTAAGAATTGGACATTTTTTGAAGATGAGGCTTTTGAGGTTTGAAGTATGACATGTGTCAGTCAACCTTATAATATGGAAAATGAAGAGGCTTATAAAACACATTTGTTTTTTTTTTTACAAAATGACTGAACAGGTGCTTACTATTGTGTGGAGTTTTCATTTAGGCATCTCATTCAGGTTTTAAGCGATCTCTTTGAAACTTGGTAGGATTGTAAATAATGACATGAAGCTGTACAAGCTGTTGTAATTGTGAATTGAATTAAATGTGAAAAATGACAGTAGAATATGAAATTTTGATGCAGTATTGATATGTTACAGAGACCTTGGTGCACACATTGATGGGTTCATTGCTGTTGTTGCCCACACACTGGTGGTTGGAGCCACACCTGTATGTAACCAATACCTAGAACAGCTAATAAAACTTATGCATATTTCAAACAAAATTAGAGGGAAAAAAATTGTTGCAGCACCACCATAATGTGGCCTGAATAACTAGTGCAGGACTTAAGGGCCTCTTGTTGTGTTAGTAGAAGAGCTTTAAACATCAAAAATTACAAATATTAAAGCCTGGTATAGGCCCAGAACATCTTTAATATATAATATAAAAAAAGGTATACTGGAATATGAACAAAGCATATAAGACAAATAGGGACTGAGAAGTGTCTCCTGAAGCAAGAATAGTTACACTGTTAGATGAAATTATAAGGAAGGTTTAAGTGTATAATAAAGTGATGTCTTGTTTTACAGGAAAACAAAGTGGACGGTCGACGAGCTGATGTGATAATGGCAGCCCACCAAGCAGCTGAGGCTTGTCTCCGACTAGTCAAACCTGGAAATGATGTGAGTCACATGGATAGAATCTCTAGGTCATTTTACATTATAAGTAGAATTTTTCAAGTTGCTGTATTGATAAAAATTGATATTTCAAATCAGTGGATCGATGATTGATCTGAATTTTCCATTAATGCAGGCTTAGGACAAATTCTTTTAAGTTCTTATAACAAAATTGAATTCAAGACAAATCCTTACTTGAACATCTTTGTAAGACCCATCACATCTTGACATGTGTAGTCTTTGGTAGCTATCGCATGAATGAATGGTGGAATATAATATTGTCAGCCGTCTTCGGAGCTGAAGTCTCTTTATTGCTTCAGATTCTTCCTCAATGTCTGACACATTTTCAAATGCTTAAAATGTTGATAATCTTTCAAGTATGCAGTAGTTATATGAAATATTTACCATTAGGGAGATTTTGAAAAGGGGACAGAATATGTACTCAAATTACCTCCCTTACTATGCTAAATATGCAATTTTTCTTATACCGAGACATGTACAAATCAAGATTAAGAGGGAGATCTCTCAAAAGTATTTCATCATCAAAATGTTTAGTGTAATTTTCATTTTAGCAAAACTATGGGAAAGGCAAGTTTCAGATGAAACTGATTTCATATTGTTTTGTTTTGTTTTGGTTTTAGAATAACAAAGTAACAGAATCTATATCAAAAGTAGCCATGGCCTATGACTGCAAACCTGTAGAAGGTGAGTGACATAGATTAAAAATGACTTTGTTATTGTGGTATCTTCTCAATTTTTCCTGAAAAATTAATTAATTCATCACCATAGTAATGATAGTTAAAAAGAAAATTATCTTTTAAATGGCTACATCATGCTACTAACCTGTCCTTTATTGACCTGACATTGTTAAAAGTAAGTTAAAGACCAAAGAATTAATTACACCATTGTCTACAACACAAATTACTATAAATAAACTTGCACAATAAAAGTTTAGCACCATATCAATTTTGGAACATTCACAATTATTTCTTTGTTTAAATGCAATACCTGAAGACTTGAAAATAAGCTTGTAGCTTTTAACATAAAAATCCTGCATTTGCTTACTACTAAAGAAAATCATCTGAACATAATTTTTTCTAATGACGGTATTTTCAGTTACAAAAAAATAGGTGCATTTACTATATGTTGCTAAAGATATTTGTTCATTATGGACAGGAATGCTGTCTCACCAGTTGAAACAACATGTGATAGATGGAGAGAAAGCCATTATCCAGAATCCAACAGAGGCACAAAGGTAAGATCAGAGGCAATTGATGATGATTTTACAAATTCAGGAATGATGTTTCACCAAAGTTCTAACGATCGAGTCAATAAAATGACATCTTTTTGTTCTACATATTCAGTTGCAAGATGGTTATAATCCACTTTCAGAAACATCTTGGACATTACTATTTCTGACACTTACAATGATGTTATGTGCCTTGCCAGTTGGATATACAATGTTATTTGTGGGATCTCTTTCGATTGAAGATTATCAATGTCGGTTAAGTTTTGTGATCCAAACACATGCACAAGTCCTGTAATCTGAGGCTATTGTGTGTAGTATCCTTGAATTTGATTACTGCATTGTTTAGCAAATGTACAATGCTTTATGTTTTAGGCCTAATGTATCGTGTTCTGAATACAAGATGGTTGTCCACATTGTAACATTTTCAATTTTTTTTTACGAAGGAATACATGAATTTGTAATGTGCATGTTTTAATGCCAGATGTTGGCATATTTGGTTTTATTATATCTCTAATGTCTGAATAATGTCAAGAAGATATTCTTGTTTGGAGAATACAAATGATAATTAGTACTTATAATTTAAACTAACTAGGAAAAAATATGAGGCCAAATATAGGTGAGTATAAAAATGTTTTGGAAATAGTGTAAAGTATTGGAAATTACCCAAACCACCTATTAACCCATCTCATTAGTTGTTTGTTGCTATGAATGCCTCTGCCTGTTGGACTAATTAAAAATTCCGTGTTGCAAGGTCATATTCCAAATTTATATGAAATATGTTTGAAAAGTTCGCTTATGAACTTATGAAGATGAATAGTAATGTGATTTGTGATGGGGACAATTGGTCTTGCAAAAAAGAAAAGGAAAAAAAGACAAAAAAATTGATATAAAATGTTTCGGGAAACTATTTGTGACACCTAGGTTTATATGAATGAAGAATTTATTACCGATCATTGTGAAAATAAAGGTTGGGTAAATGTGATCATGTAGTTATCTCAGAGTAATTTAGTACACTATATAAGAAATTCTCTCCCTTGGTATGTTGCGATTGCCCTGTTGAAAACCCCAACAGTTGTGCTGCCTGTTTTTGCATGAAGAGTATGTTTGATAAAGAGTGTTGAAATCGGATTGGAAAGAGAAGGTTAAGTGGGGTAGTGTGGTCAATATTTCTTCAGTATGCCTGTCTCAGGTATTGTTTAGGAGATGACAGGCAAAGAATTTTTTTTTGTCTTTTTGTAAGAAAATGCTAGATCTTCTAACCGTTATATACAAGTACAAGATAGTTAAAAAGTTTGTAATGTTGAATGAGAATGGGGCCCCTCTACACTGTCTACATGTACACTGAAAACACCTGTTAGCTTACTTGAACTGTTGAATAAGTATTAATGTTGTAAATGTTGAAAAGTAACTCCTAAAGAAATGTATGAAAAGGTACACAGTTGTAGAAAGTTGAATGCTACCTCTGTAATCTTCAATATCAGTATTCTCACTTTGTAATATTCCTTTATTTGACCAATTCTGATAAAAACTAATTGTCACTTCATTTTTTTCACAGTAAAGAACATGAAAAGTGTGAATTTGAAATGTATGATGTATTTGCTGTGGATGTCCTCGTCAGCTCTGGAGAAGGAAAGGTAAGAAACCCATTTGATAAGATTTGTCAGTTAATTGAATTAATACTCAGTTTTCCCTCATAAACATCAGAGAGGATGTCTTGAGACAGATTTAGTAAATAAGTTTCAAAACCTGTGTCCTACCTTAAAACTTGTGTAACAGGGAATATTTGATGTGGGTTACAAGGTGGAATATAAAATTCTTTGGGGCTGAAGTCTTTTTGTTGCTTCAGATTATCCCTCAATGTCCGACACTTGCAGATTTCGATCTCTTGAATTTATAACATTGTATAATTAAGACATTTGACTTGGTGTTTCCCACAAATTATAATGATCTTATTTCCACACTTGTCTTGTTGCATTGGAGCATTAGATTGCCTGCTGTTTTAGGGACACTTTGATCATGTAATGTCGAGTATTTAAGCCTCCAGTTTGTACTGTATTTGTCTCATTTTAAAGAACATTAGAGATTGATAAACCCGGTTTTAGTAAGTTAAGTTGCTCTGGACAGAACTGATAATTATAGTATGTCTGATTTGAAATAAAGAATGTTAAGATCTACCCGACACTTGCATTGAACCCACTATTTCTTGGCGTGTGTAGCTGTGGTAGCTATCACATGAATAAAAAGCTGGTGGAATATAAAATTGTCAGCCGTCTTCGGAGCTGAAGTCTCTTTGTTGCTTCAGATTCTTCCTCAATGTCTGACACATGTAGATTCTGATAACTTGAATTTATAACATTGTATAACTAATTAAGAGACATGTGATGCTGTGTTACACATAAATCATAACAGTCTTAATTCTACACTTGTCTAGTTACCTTGAAGCTTCAGATTGGCTGCTGTTCTGTTAGATACATTGATCTTGTAATGTTGGGTATTTAAGCCTCCAGTTCATAGTGTAGTGGTCAAATTTCTGACACGTGTAGATTTGGTATCTTGAATTTGTAACATTGTATAATTGATTAAAAGACATGCAAAGTTGTGATACACATAGATTATAACAACCTTTTTTTCTTCACTTGTCTAGTTGCCTCCAAGTACTAGACTGCCTGCAGTTTTTAAGAGACACTTTGATCTTGTAACGTTGGGTATTTAAGCCTCCAGTTCTTAGGGTAGTTGTCTCATTTTGAAGATCATTAGAGATTGATAAACCAGGTTTTAGTAAGTTAAGTTCTCTGGACAGAACCGATTATTAGTATGTCTGATTTGAAATAAAGAATGTTAAGATCTACCCGACACTTGCATTGAACCCACTATTTCTTGGCGTGTGTAGCTGTGGTAGCTATCACATGAATAAAAAGCTGGTGGAATATAAAATTGTCAGCCGTCTTCGGAGCTGAAGTCTCTTTGTTGCTTCAGATTCTTCCTCAATGTCTGACACATGTAGATTCTGATAACTTGAATTTATAACATTGTATAACTAATTAAGAGACATGTGATGCTGTGTTACACATAAATCATAACAACCTTTTTTCTACACTTGTCTAGTTACCTCCAAGCACCAGACTGCCTGCAGTTTTTAAGAGACACTTTGATCTTATAACGTTGGGTATTCAAGCCTCCAGTTCTTAGGGTAGTGATCTCATTTTGAATATCAATAGAGATTGATAAACAAGGTTTTAGTAAATTAAGTTGCTCTGGACAGAACAGGGCTAGAAAAAACCATTTTCAGCTACTCGTCTGTCGGGCAAGTGAAACTTGAAATTCACTTGCCTGAATCCAATATTCACTCACCCGAAGAAAAAAGGTAACAAAACATGATTTAAGGAACACAAATTTTATTGTCAATTTCTATATCAAATGTTTGAATTCAACACTTGCTTTTATTGTTTTATTCACATTCAATTTACAGTTAACATGAGCATGAACATCGACTTTTTGACAGTAACTACATACACAAAACAAACTTGTTTACAACATTTGTGGTGACGTAATTGGTTCTCGCGTAGTCTGGATCAGCCTGAGTCTTGACACATGGTGTAAACAAGGATACTACATCAATGTATTTGATCGACTATCAGTGGATTTAAATTACTTTTAAGAGTGTTTAAGTTGATAAACGTCATTTATTATGGAATATTCAATAGTCAGAACTACAAATTTTACTCACCTGCCTGACAAGTAGCTGAAAGAAATCACTCGCCTGGAAGTAGCTTTGACTGGTCTAGACGAGCGGACTAGTGGATTCTTCTTACCCTGAACCGATAATTAGTATGTTTGATTTGAAATAAAGAATGTTAAAATCTACACGACACTTGCATTGAACCCACTATTTCTTGGCGTGTGTAGCTGTGGTAGCTATCACATGAATAAAAAGCTGGTGGAATATAAAATTGTCAGCCGTCTTCGGAGCTGAAGTCTCTTTGTTGCTTCAGATTCTTCCTCAATGTCTGACACATGTAGATTTTGATAACTTGAATTTATAACATTGTATAAATAATTAAGAGACATGTGATGCTGTGTTACACATAAATTATAACAACCTTTTTTCTTCACTTGTCTAGTTACCTCCTAGCACTAGACTGCTTGCAGTTTTTAAGAGACACTTTGATCTTGTAACGTTAGGTATTCAAGCCTCCAGTTCTTAGGGTAGTGATCTCATTTTGAAGATCATTAGAGATTGATAAACCAGGTTTTAGTAAGTTAAGTTGCTCTGGACAGAACTGATAATTATAGTATGTCTGATTTGAAATAAAGAATGTTAAGATCTACCCGACACTTGCATTGAACCCACTATTTCTTGGCGTGTGTAGCTGTGGTTGCTATCACATGAATAAAAAGCTGGTGGAATATAAAATTGTCAGCCGTCTTCGGAGCTGAAGTCTCTTTGTTGCTTCAGATTCTTCCTCAATGTCTGACACATGTACACTTTGTGTCTGTTAAGTTATAGCATTTTAGAATTTGATGACATTTGATAATGTGCTACATTTAAATCTTTTATGAAGATTTATAAAATTCCTTTCCTCTTAATTGGATTTTAATCCAAAAATCTACTACCTATCTTTAATAATTCATGTTGCTATATTGGTTCATTGTTTCAGGGAAGAGAATTTGACACCAGAACCACTGTATATAAGAAAAAAGATATGGTTTATCAACTGAAGATGAAAGCTTCACGACGTAAGTAAAGTTGGTCAACAGCCCAAAGTCTACTAATATATACACATGTAACATCTAGTGAATGGTCAATATGAACTTGAATAATTTCAATATTTTTGATCTACCAGAAACAATCATTTTAAATACACATTTTGATAGAAAACCTAACTGAGACGCTTCCTCAACCTGTGATACAATGCTACCATATTTTGTTTCATAGTTATACAATGTGTTATTTCATATATCTGAAACCAGAAAAAAGGTTAGCATTGCCTTCCTATCTTAGTAGCACTAGCCATCTCTAAATATTTTGTTGTGCACTGAAATATGAAACAAACCAAAAAACCCCAAACCATTCACTGCTGCACATAGTGAACCATGTTGAATATGTACATTTTGACCCCTAACTTTGAAGAGGTGGAGAGAAGTGTTTTGAAATATCACACTGTAATATATAGCTTATTTGTTTATTTTTCAGAATTTTTAAGTGAAGTAGACAAAAAATTTGGTCTCATGCCTTTCACATTACGGTAAGTATCAAAATCCAAGTGTGTTTCCAAGATTATTCAGAAATGAAGGTAACCATGATAGAAACGTTTATCATCAATCAATTGATTTCTGATCTAAAAGCTAAACCGTGATTGATATAACAATTTGGATATTTCATCTGTTTATTAAGTCATCAAATTTTATATCGGTCACAGCACCATATAGTAAGTTAATTTTGCAGTGTGTTTGTAATACAAGTCCACCAAATAGGGTTTGCCATTATTGGAATACACCTGCCACATATGGTTTTGCTGTATTCGGCAGTAAAGGAAGCCAATGTAATTTAGTATGTGTGGTAATTTGACAGAATAGCCCTCTGAATTTACTGAAATATAAATAGTTGTTGAAATAAGTGATTTTACATGTTGTAATGAAGATGTTGCAGGATAAATGGAATACAAGGTCGGGGTCCTAAGAAATAAGCAGTACTTGGGCTCGGAACAGAATGACAGAAGTGGTTTGCCAGAGGCTGGCCAGTTTTGTCTTTCTTCACCCTCACCAAAATGCACCTTATATTTCAAGACACTGACCATGTATTCTCTATGTCTCTCTTTTCAAAACTCAAAAGAATTGTCCGAGGCTGTTAAGAAGTAGATTTATTAGATAAGCAATAACTACTTATGCTTACAGATTATCAGAGGATGAGAAGAAAGCCAAGATGGGAGTTGTGGAATGTGTCAAACATGAATTAATGCAGCCATTTGCTGTTCTATATGAAAGAGATGGTAAGTGGATTAAGATCAGTAGGATTGTCTTGATATATATTTCCTACATAGTTCACACACACATGAAAAGTTGTTGAATTTTTAACAAACTGTCAAAAGTCCACAAATTTCAAAGTCATTGATAATATTCAAAGTGTGAATGAAGATTATACATGGTGAAGTAACCACTGTCCCCCAACAACGTTGGAGGGTTACACAGCAAGACATTTTTGGCAGATATCATGTAGTGCACATTGCCATGGGAATGATTTAACCATGTCTGATAAAGAACCATATTCTAATTATCTGCAACGATCTGTAAGGTGTTATCTTTCTTGGTGTGTGTATAACCACAGATCAGCTATTTTACCATACAAATGATAGCTCACCATTTTTGGATGAAGGGAAATCAATTTTGTATAAACAATAGATCACAACCCCCTGGGACGGGAGGGTTCGTTAATTGACTGAATAGTTTAATTAGGCAGAAGGCAATGCAGGCCCTATGGGCATCTTATTAGATTTTGTACAGAACTGGCTATCAGACAATGTTTTCACTCTGCATGTTTGATGTACAGTGTTCACAGGCAATTTTATTCCAGTGATTGTGATGAGATTAAGAAAACAGGAGATATATAAGTTAATTGAAGGACTTGAAACGGTTTTTTTTCCCATTACATAACTACACACTTCAAGTTGGCCTCCACTTCAATTCTACTTCTGAAAGGTGTCAACTGAGGTTATGTACTTAATTTGTTGAATGTTTATGTCCTAGGTGAATTTGTGGCCCAGTTCAAATACACAATGGTGCTGATGCCCAATGGTCCACTTAAATTGACGGGGATGCCGTTTGATAGCGACTTGTACCTAACAGACAAGACAGTGGAGGACGAAGAACTCAAGGTAACTCCAACCTCCACTTACTTAAGGATTGATGGTCAATTTGTTAACCAGTTCACTTCATTTGCATGAGATTCACTTCATCAGTCCATGCAAGCAAAATAATGGACAATCAGTCCTTACATATATACATTAACCAATTAATTGTTGCAATTATCGTACATTTGTGACCACAGCTGCTAGCTATCTTTATTTGTGACTAGGCAACAAAAAGTCAAGCTCTGAAATGAGATTTAAGTGTAATGCTAAAGTGAGGGGTTTTCAAATTTCATTTTCAATGAATAGGAAAGAAGATTTTTACATGGATGAATTAGAATTTGGGGAATACTACCCGTTGTAGAAAAATCAGAGTTTTGGTGTTATTAGGTCATCTGACCCGAAGGGTCCGATGACCTATAGTCATCATGCTTCGTCCGTCGTCGTGCGCCGTCCGCCGTGCGCCGTCCGTAAACTTTTCATTCAAACGACTTCTTCTCAAATACTAGAAGGTCTAGGGGGCTAATACTTGGCACAGAGGATACTGGCATGGAGCTCTACCAAGTTTGTTCAAATGAATGACCTTGACCCACTTTAAAGGTCACAGGGGTCAAATATGTTAAAATCTTTAAACAACTTCTTCTCATTAACCAAAAGGCTCAGAGTGTAGATATTGGACCTGTGACATGCTGGGATGAAGGACTACCAAGTTTGTTCAAATGAATGACCTTGACCCACTTTAAAGGTCACAGGGGTCAAATATGTTAAAATCTTTAAACAACTTCTTCTCAATAACCAAAAGGCTCAGATTGCTGATATTGTGCCTGTGGCATGCTGGGATGAAGGGCTATCAAGTTTGTTTAAATGAATGACCTTGAACAACTTTCAAGGTCACAGGGGTCAAATATGTCAAAATCTTTAAATAACTTCTTCTCAAATACTAGAAGGCCTAGGGGGCTAATACTTGGCCCATAGCATGCTGGCATGGAGCCCTACAAAGTTTGTTCAAATGAATGACCTTGGCCCACTTTCAAGGTCACAGGGGTCAAATATGTTAAAATATACAAAGGACTTCATCTCAATAAGCAAAAGTCTATGAGTGCCGATATTGGGTCTGTAGCATGCTGGGAGGAAAGGCTACCAAGTTTATTCAAATGAATGACCTCAACCCACTTTCAAGGTCACAGGGGTCAAATATGTTAAAATATACAAACGACTTCTTCTCAACAAGCAAAAGTCCATGAGTGCTGATATTGGGCCTGTAAGATGCTTGGAGGAGAGGCTACCAAGTTTGTTCAAATGAATGACCTCAACCCACTTTCTAGGTTTGGCTTGCTTTTTGTCAGATGACCGTTAAGGCCCATGGGCCTCTTGTTTTGAGAAATGGGAGCATTTCAGACCGCCCGTTTAGTCACAATTCAAAAGAGAGGGTAAAACTATATGTCATACATGAAGATTACATGAATGTGACAATGTTGAGGTACATTGATATTTCTTGGTAGACCGTTCTGTTTTGGGGAAAGTTTCCCGAGTTTTCAGTAATTTTCCTTATGGAGAATATTTTTATATCCAGCAAGGATAACATACCAATTAGCCGATGCTGCCGTTTTCCTTTAGTAACTAGATTAATCTGTTTTATAATGAACAACCTTATAAAGTGTTCTAGTTCTAGAGTTAAATTGTGCAATAGTAACAACACTACAAGTTTGTTGGTTGGTAACATCTCGAGTGAGTCTTATTAAGTTGTTGGAAATCATGTTTTGGAACTGAAAACACATCCATAAAATTTGAATTTTGCCAAGCTCATGGAGGTTTACAGGATTAGCGTTTTGAAAGGTTTTCATTTAGTATGTGGTAGCTTTGAAGGGATGCCAATCACAGATGTTGGTATAATGAAACAAATCTGTACTGAAAAGCCTGCATTATATTTAATTTCTTTTAAATGATATGAGAAATAGGCAGGCATTGTATTGACCTTATTTCTTTCAAGGTAAAATCAGAGTGGCCTATTAAACTTTGTAACTGTGAATTTATTTTCAGAGTTTTTGATTCACCTTGATCACCTAGTCATAATACTTCATTTTAATATATATATCACGTCAGGAATCCTTTTGTACAAGATCTTTTTCAAAATTGTGTAATATTTATTGGGTATGGGTTTGTGTTTAAAAGTAAACAATATTGATTAATTTAGTCATTACAGTATGGGTCTGTGTTTAGAATTAAGTTATTTTTGTTACAGACACTTCTCGCCCAGTCAGCATCACGGAAGGCAGCCAAGAAGAAGAAAAAGAAGGCCGGAAAATCCATGGCCGAGAACACTGCTCCAGGAGATGATTAAGTGGGTGTGAGTGTTTGTGTATCAAGTTGGAACTTTTGAGGGCTGATCTTGGTTAAGTTAGATACATTTGACACCATGGACAGTATGACGAGGAGAGGGACTTCGAATTTGAGATCTGGAAGTCCTTTCCTTTAGGGATAAACCAGGCTGCAATGTGCTGTAAGGCAGCTGATCTCAGGTTCTTGTACTGCGATTCACTGTACAGTCTCCTGTAAGCCTTGCTTCTCTGCACAGGAGGTTTAGGAAAATACAGCTTGACTTTAAATTTGTGGTTCATCATGCTGAAAAAATATTTGGAGATACTTAAGAAAAAAAATCTTTTTCAGTTCATTTGTTAATGATATTTCTCTTCGAAAAATATTAATCCATTACCTTTTGCACTAATCAGTGGTCTTTCCAATATTTATATACAGATGTGAAACATGTCTGTTTGGCTTATAGATAATTTTACTATAAGAGTTCAATAAAGGGAAGATGTTGTCTTTACTTCAATATAAAACACGCACTTGATGTTTGTGCTTTATAATAATTGGTATTTGGTGCATATCTCATTGGTGTAGGGCAAGTTAATATTTCGTATAGCAAGGATATTGTCTCCAGCTTCTTATTGATAAAAAGAAGTTTTATATTTCTTGTTAAAAGGTTCTAAAAGGTTCAGAAAGCCTGCATTATCGTTAATTTCGTATATTTTTTCTGTTCACAAGTGAACGCAATCACTTGAGAGTAAAGCCAACTGCACTGAATTTTTTGTTTATATCAACAAATCTTGCAGTATGCTCCATGGATAACGAATTCTACCAGAACTTAGTATTGTTTGAAACCATGTTTCACTGCATTGTCCAAAGTTTGTTAAATGATGGACCATATTTATTTTTTATATACATCTATTTCATCAAAGGTGGGTCAATCCAACTTATTCAATTTCTTACAACTGGAGATAAACCTGTTGTCACTTTAAGAAATCGTGACGAGTTTACGGGTTTGTAGACACAGATTAAAGAGGAAGGAGAGTGGCTTTGTTGTATGTACTGTGTCCTGATTCTTACAGTCTTCCAATCTTATGTAAAGGTAATACCGGACTAAAACATGTCTTGGAACAACTGGCGTATTCATTATAATCAAAATTGTGTTATTTTACAAATTTTATTTCAACAAGGAAAGTTTCTTGTTTTGTAATGATGTAAATTCACCTTTAGACATTTGATGTGATTAGGATAGAGGATCAAATTTCGTCCCATATACAGGAGGTCAGGCAGTTGATTCACCCAGATGGAAGAGATGAATAAAACAAGTGCTATCATCCACAAGTGTTGGTGTTATTTCTCACAACAGTTTAACACTGCTTGCCTTCAATGAATTAACACATCCTTCATTACTCCAGATGTTTCCTGATAGTAAAATAACATCCAGTTAAATGTGAACGTTATTGGCTTATGTATTGAAAATTAAGCACATAATATACTTGAAAATCTCATCATAGCAATTAAGAAAGATGTGTGGATGTTTCGTTTAAACAGTTGTTTTTTTAGGTCACCGGAGACAAATGTCTCGTGGTGATCTATTCTAATACCCTTCATCCGGCAACATGTGTCCGTAGACAATTTAACACTTTCGACGTTTTCTCCAAAAAACCCTGATCCCATTTCTGCAAAATTTTGCAGAAACCTTCCTTGGCCTAAGATGAAACAAAATTGTGAATTATACAGTCCCGACCCCCCAGGGGCCTGAGGGTCAAATTGACTCGGATTTCAAAAATTTTATTCTTAAGACTCGGATATGGTAGAATTAAATACTTTTCATGAATGGTAGCATCTTAAGTTGCTTTACCAAAATTGTGAATTTCATGGACCAAGGTTCTTGCATTTTCCCGTGGATAGGGGGTAAAGTTGTTTTTTTTTTTTTTTTTAATTTATTTATTTTATTTTTCAAAGCATTTTAAACATACAGATAAACAACCTTGCACACCCCACACATAGCAATTGTACACCTCGTGCATCCTTTCATTGTGCAGTCATCATCATCACCATCCCTTGTACAATCAACATCATCATCATCCCATATACAAACATCATCTTCATCCCTTGTACAATCATCAACATACCATATACAATCATTTCCACTCACTCAGTCATTATCGTCATCATTATTACTAGATATACAAGTCCACAAAATGAGAGAGAAAAAACCACAATGAAAATGTATTGAAATGCCGAGAGTGAATAATATGGAGAGAGTTTACTGGGCTAGAGGTGAGATCTGATCCAAAAAATCAAAACAAAAAATTAGCGTCTGGTGGGATAAAATTAATTTATCGGAAGAACTACTAAATGTCAATGAACAACCAAGAGAAATACAAATTATTCTATAAATGTATACAATGAAAAGATATCAAAGCTCTTAAACTGTACCAAGGAAATTCACAAATATGTTAACAGATGAATTAGTCTGAGATTTCTAACAATTTTTACCATTTTATCCATTCAGCCCTAAACTTCTGTTGGGAAAGTTCCCCTTCACTATAAGCAATACTTTTTTGACACATATAATACTCTTTAATTGAACTGATTAAAACTATTGGATTTAAGGCTTTATGTAGACATCTTGTTTTGTATATGTAAAATTTGATTAAAATCAAAATTACATTATCTGTCTTATTACCTATATCATTTCAATTATGTAATAAATTACCAAAGAGAAATCTTTGTTTATTAAAAGAAAATGGGATAAGGAGTACATCAAAAAGGGTTTCTAAACTTTGTAGTAATGTTTGCGTTTCATGGCACTCCCGTAGAACATGAATAATTGTTTCCCGTTCCATATTACAAAGGTTACACATTGGACTACTAGTTATACCAGCTTTAAACAAAAATGAATTGGTGATAGGGGGTACAGTTTACTAAAGTATATATAGGAAAACTAGATTTTTGAGCATAATTTGTTTCAATTCTATTGGAAATATTTGTTGGAATTATAAGTGAAGGATGACAGCTTGATGGTATGTCCATTCTGATCCTGATGGGCATGGTCTAATTGACTTCAATTTCAAAAATCTTCTTTTCAAGACCCAAATATGGTATAATCAAATACTCTTCATGAATGGAATCATCTTTAGGTGCTTTACCAAAATTGAGAATTTCATGGCTCCAGGGTCTCGCATTTCCAAGTGAGTAGGGGATCACGTTTACTATATTATATATAGGAAGACTAGATTTTTAGCATAATTTGATTAATTTTGCATTGGAAAGATTTCAAACTTTGTTGGAATTATGAGTGAAGAATGACGGCTTGATGGTATGTACATTCCTATCCTGACTGACCCCCAGGGGCTGATGTGCGTGGTCAAATTGACTTAGATTTCAAAAATCTTCTTATCAAGACCCAGATATGGTATAATCAAATACTCTTCATTAATGGAAGCATCTTTAGGTGCTTTGCCAAAATCGTGAATTTCATGGCTCCAGGTTCTCGCATTTCTTTATGGGGAGGATTTGTTTGTAACTTTATAAGAATTATCAGTATAGGATGACAGTTTTGATGGTATGCATGTATAAACACTGTCTATATTCAGTATCAAAGTTCCTGTTTTATGGCACTTGATAACTATCCTTTATATTCAATATTGCTAATCTCGGTAACCGTCAAGGCTGCTAGGCCTCTTGTTTTTTATGTTGCTGCTACATTTTTTCGGACTGATTTGGGAAAAAATTAATCTATGATTGGCATAACTTGCTATTTTTTGAGAAGCACTGATGGAACTTTCTAAAATTTCAGATGTAGACTACACTTGGTTTTTAGTTGTGCATGATCAATTTTTAACTAGTCATCTTCGTTTTTGACAGTCATGCTTTATCCCTGGAGAAACTTTGGGTGGGTTATTCTCAAACTTCATATAGAGATTCAACTTGGTCCTTAGTTGTGCAAGATTCATTTTGGAATGACAGAAAAACAAGATAGCAGAAAAGTGGCCATTTGATACTTAGCGGCCATATACTTTTACAATTACCTGGTCTTTCTGGAGAGGTAGGAAGTGGATCTTTCTAAACATTGTATGTAGATTCCCATTGGTTTCTATGTGTCCTTTTGACTTTGGATCGGACACAAAGTGTTTGTATGTTGTTTACTGTTTTAGCCCACCACCATGAGAGAGAAGGCTATTCAAATCGCTCTGCGTCTGTTATCTGTTTTTAGCCCACCATCATCAGATTGTGGGCTATTCAAATCGCCCCGCGTCCGTGGTCCGTCCGTCCATAAACAATTCTTGTTACCGCTAAGATCCCTCTGGAATCTCTTGTTGTAATCGCTATTTCTTGAGAAGTGCTGGGTTGGATATGTAGGTTCCCCTTGGTTTCTTCTTGTGCTCGTGTAATTTTGGGACAAATCAAAAACATAAAATGGCCGAAAGGTGGTCATCTTGGATTTTGACTTTGAACGTTTGTTATCGCTAATTCTTGAGCAGTACTGGATGGATCTTTCTTCAGTTTTATATGTAGGTTCCCCTTGGTCCCTAGTTGTGCCAATTTGATTTTAGGACTGATCAGATAAGCAGAATGGCTGACAGACGGATATCGTAGATTTTGACTATTTCTTGAGAACTACAGCATATAGTGGAACTATTTGAAATTCATGAGCATAGCCCTGCCTGTTGGTTACATTCTGGACCTAGTAGGACCTTTCCTGTAAGTGATAATGATGCGAATATTACAAAGTCATTATGGATAGACTCCCCTGGCTGGAGAAAGGTGACGTTGTTGACCAGGACAGACTCAACATGACGACCTACAAGCTATCCTTGATAGATTCATAACTAAATCCAGGTGGGTAGTATAGTCATATCACGGACGAAATGGCTGTTTTTCAAAGCACAACTTGACTCCAACTATTTCACTGCTATACCCGAGCCACTCCTTTGAATAGTTATAGATATCTCAATGGAATCCAGGGACCCATATATGTTAATACACGAGCGAGACGCAACGGATAGGGCGCTGGCTGCAAAAATGAAAGTGCGTGTTAGTGTTCACAACTTGACCAGCTGGTAAAAAATGAGTCGGATCTTACCAGAAGGGCCAAATCACTATTTGTCAATCTAGATGCTACTGCGGAAAATTGTGACTTTCCAAAGTTAAACATGGAATACCTTCGGACAATATCCTGTGATGATGGCGACTACGAGATCTAGATCTATCGGCACTCACGAGATATTGTACAATGTCAGATCTACTCGAGGCATAAGAGCAATGTAAAGTACAACGTTTGGATCCAGCATGACAGCTCCGACGCCATTAACTCCATAAAGGATTATTATTACCAGTGCCCTACTGGACAGAGAACCATGGGGGTATGTGCCCCCGTAGCCAGTATCCTGTACTATTGAGGATACTACATGCATTTGTAACCAGTAAGCTTTTGCATCCAAAAGTCAAAAGGTTTAAGACAAACCTCAAGTAATGTAGATTTTGCTTACAACCGTCATCTTCAAGGTGTTATGTATGGTCAACTTGGACAATTGAAACTACATTACTGTATGATGTAGACCAACACTGACATGGTCAATCAGATTTTGAGACGAATAAGCCTTATTGGAGTCCAGATTAGGTGATTCAATGTGTAAACTAACTTGAATCTATCATTTAGCATTCTTGTTAGAATATTGATTCAGCAGTTGTAAGAACATTTAGTTTCTGTGTTTATCAGAAAACATGACGGCCATTTTGAAAGTTGAAATTTCACTTTAGTGAGTTATTAGTGTAGGTGACAATCTCTTTGTACTATTAAAACCAAGAGTAAAAAAAAATTACTTCAGATTACTTTACAATATTTCAATCCAAAACAGATTTTCCCTCTGTTCGATTTTCCCTTTAAAAATAGCAATATTGTCAATATTTCCTGTTCCCAGTGTATTCAAAACTAACTTTTTGCTCTGCATATATGATATTCAACATATTCATCATTGTTCGTGTTTAGTTTTCGTTTTAAAAATGTAGTACTGATATTGTAGCATTTTCCCCAAAACCATACATTTTTCTTTATTTTGGCACAAAAAGAGCGCTATATTCTTGCGTGTGTATATTACGTACTACAGAGGCTACAAATATCACATTCAAGCCAATTAAATATGATAAAACAAATGATAAATTATCTTAATTTTTTCTTATTTTCTGTGTTGATTTAACATAACGTGAGAATACAAGTATGTGAAACTTTGATGTTTTTTGCAACTCTCAGTAAAGTTCATATTTTTTGTATCATAACTTCCAATATAGGCTCAAAGATCGATGAAAAGTGGTGAAACACAGGTAAACAAATCTGTAAATGACTAATCCTTCTAACATCATTCCTCTGCCCTTTATATTTTAAAAAGTGGATTAATCGGGATTCGACCGTACAAATGCACATGGCTTTTCAGCTTCATATCCGCAAACCAGCACTTACAAATTTATTAAAACCGTGACTTTCTGGTAATGAAACAAAACCTATAACTCCGTATTTTCAAAACCTTTCGATGGGATACCATATTCAGTATATCGTTCGCAGAATTTTTTATTCCCCCTTAAATTAACAGCTGTTTATACCAAGACATAGGTTACACTACACTGAATCCCATTGACGTGTGTCGTACAATACAACAGACTGGTATATCGCTTGTCTACAGTGTATTGAGCGGTACTCGCATAGCGATCCATACTTAACATAATATGGCTGCTAGGTCATGCTAGTCTATATGTACTGGAAAACAAACTGCCGTTCCTCAATACTTCGCGTGTGTGTGTATGTGTTAGATCACACACTTGTAACATCCAAAGCATACAAGTACGTCTTCCACAGCTGCATACAGACATTGCCACCAGAAATCTGCTCTGATCGCTTTACCTATTCTAAGCAGGACTTATATACGTATTAAATAGCGGGAAAGGGTTTTTACCACCCTGAGTCACAGAAAGACTGGAACTATTTTTAACCATTACACTATGAAGGATCGATTAACGTGAACACTAACAAGCGTCCAGGACACTAGGTCCATGGATGTTGTGGTTATGTTAGACAGACATCGCTGAAGGAAGATTGGCGTGTCCTTGTTTACACCATGATTCGCATGAATGGAATATTAGCGAACGTTTGTAACTTTTCGCCCCGGCGTTAACTGGTGTTATTTCCTTGATGGGGTCGGGGTCGTCAGGGTCTATGACTTCCCACGGACCATCACAGACAGACAGTTCAATGGAACCATCTAAAGATAGGGAGACGTTGAAATTACACCATTCGTCTAGATCTACGGAATCGGGACATTACGAAAGCGATCCGACATTGGTAGACGTCCTGACGGACAATTTGAGAAGTAGCCGGGCTTACAGTAACGTGTCTAGTACAAAGGCGAGTAGAGGTAACAAAGATGGTACGGACGTATCAAAGACAGACTCTCACAGACTTGAGAATTTTGTCTCCGATAACAGTAAAAGTGAAAGCTCCACGAGCTCACGTACTTTTAATAAAAGTTCGAACGCCTTAGTGTCCACCGCCTTCAAGGCATGGATGAATAACGTATTTAAAGGCGACAGTTACCAACACGGAAAAGCTGTGCGTGACCACGGAAGCAGTGACGTTTCTTATCATAAAAAAGGTCTCGATAACCGATCCGACGGAGATTCTTTCCGGAACTCAAAGGGATACAGTGAGAAGCAAAACACCAAAGCCATGAGAAATGACGCTTCCAAATCGGATAGCAGTCAAGGTTCAAAATATTCACATTCAGGCGGATTTTGTTATGTGTCGAAGTCAAATGCTTTTTCCTTTGGGAATGCAGTGAGCGACTCTAAGTCCGGTAATTCTTGGCGGAGTAGCCGTGGATTGGACCACCAGGGAAAAAGTGACAGTACACGTCACCGTTGTGGTCTGGATGACGCGGGCTCGAGTCAGACTCGCCGATTCTCAAAGGCTGTTAACGACAGCAAGGCAAGTAATGCTATGATAAGTTCACGGAGTATGACAAACAACAGCTCAGGTGAAGTACTGTATAATGTTAAAAGTTACAATCAACAAACCGCTTCAAAGACACACGAATCAAGTCGGACTGGTAAAAATGAGACTGACGGAGGTAGCATTCGAGATTCTCGAGCAATCAGTGCCCACACGACGGGTCATGCTGTACGGCACAGCAAGGGCATTAACGACACTTCCGCTTCGCAAAGTCTTTCAAATAGTCGTGGTGTTGATGTCCGCGCTGTCGGAAGTGCTGCGCCGTACAGTAAAACGGTGAAAGACATCACAAACCAAGATCACGTGCAGTCAACACGTGGTCTTAACATGCATTCGAACCATGCGTCACTAACACAAACAATTCCGTTTGAAAATATTGCAGGTTATGAAGAGAGATTCCATAAAATAGATTTAAACGGATCCGGAAATACCGAAGGTACAAATTGAAATAATCAAAGGACAATATGGATCACAAGGTCACAGGAAACATGGAGACAACAAGGAACATATGAACAAGCTCAACTAAAAACTGAGATATTCCAATTTTATAACTTGAAACTGCTGACTCAGAAAATTGATATACATTAAGGCGTTGTCAGTGTTCTAGGTATAATACAGAATATTGTTATACACTAGGTATCCGTGTTGTAGGTATAATACAGAATATTGTTATACACTAGGTATCAGTTTTCTAGGTATAATACAGAATATTGTTACACACTACGTATCAGTGTTCTAGGTATAATGCAGAATATTGTTATACACTAGGTATCGTTGTCAGTGTTCTAGGTATAATACAGAATATTGTTATACACTAGGTATCAGTGTTCTAGGTATAATACAGAATATTGTTATACACTAGGTATCAGTGTTCTAGGTATAATACAGTTATACACTAGGTATCAGTGTTCTAGGTATAATACAGAATATTGTTATACACTAGGTATCAGTGTTCTAGGTATAATACAGAATATTGTTACACACTAGGTATCAGTGTTCTAGGTATAATACAGAATATTGTTATACACTAGGTATCAGTGTTCTAGGTATAATACAGAATATTGTTATACACTAGGTATCAGTGTTCTAGGTATAATACAGAATATTGTTACACACTAGGTATCAGTGTTCTAGGTATAATACAGAATATTGTTACACACTAGGTATCAGTGTTCTAGGTATAATACAGAATATTGTTACACACTACGTATCAGTGTTCTAGGTATAATACAGAATATTGTTATACACTAGGTATCAGTGTTCTAGGTATAATACAGAATATTGTTATACACTAGGTATCCGTGTTCTAGGTATAATACAGAATATTGTTATACACTAGGTATCGTCGTCAGTGTTCTAGGTATAATACAGAATATTGTTATACACTAGGTATCAGTGTTCTAGGTATAATACAGAATATTGTTATACACTAGGTATCGTTGTCAGTGTTCTAGGTATAATACAGAATATTGTTATACACTAGGTATCGTTGTCAGTGTTCTAGGTATAATACAGAATATTGTTATACACTAGGTATCAGTGTTCTAGGTATAATACAGAATATTGTTATACAATAGGTATCAGTGTTCTAGGTATAATACAGAATATTGTTATACACTAGGTATCGTTGTCAGTGTTCTAGGTATAATACAGAATATTGTTATACACTAGGTATCGTTGTCAGTGTTCTAGGTATAATACAGAATATTGTTATACACTAGGTATCGTTGTCAGTGTTCTAGGTATAATACAGAATATTGTTATACACTAGGTATCAGTGTTCTAGGTATAATACAGAATATTGTTATACACTAGGTATCGTTGTCAGTGTTCTAGGTATAATACAGAATATTGTTATACACTAGGTATCAGTGTTCTAGGTATAATACAGAATATTGTTATACAATAGGTATCAGTGTTCTAGGTATAATACAGAATATTGTTATACACTAGGTATCGTTGTCAGTGTTCTAGGTATAATACAGAATATTGTTATACACTAGGTATCGTTGTCAGTGTTCTAGGTATAATACAGAATATTGTTATACACTAGGTATCGTTGTCAGTGTTCTAGGTATAATACAGAATATTGTTATACACTAGGTATCAGTGTTCTAGGTATAATACAGAATATTGTTATACACTAGGTATCAGTGTTCTAGGTATAATACAGAATATTGTTAACATTACAGAATATTGTTATACACTAGGTATCGTGTTCGTTAATACAGAATATTGTTATACAGTGTTCTAGGTATAATACAGAATATTGTTATACACTAGGTATCAGTGTTCTAGGTATAATACAGAATATTGTTATACATTAGGTATCAGTGTTCTAGGTATAATACAGAATATTGTTATACACTAGGTATCAGTGTTCTAGGTATAATACAGAATATTGTTATACATTAGATATCGTTGTCAGTGTTCTAGGTATAATACAGAATATTGTTATACACTAGGTATCGTTGTCAGTGTTCTAGGTATAATACAGAATATTGTTATACAATAGGTATCGTTGTCAGTGTTCTAGGTATAATACAGAATATTGTTATACATTAGGTATCAGTGTTCTAGGTATAATACAGAATATTGTTACACACTAGGTATCAGTGTTCTAGGTATAATACAGAATATTGTTATACACTAGGTATCAGTGTTCTAGGTATAATACAGAATATTGTTATACATTAGGTATCAGTGTTCTAGGTATAATACAGAATATTGTTATACACTAGGTATCAGTGTTCTAGGTATAATACAGAATATTGTTATACGCTAGGTATCAGTGTTCTAGGTATAATACAGAATATTGTTATACACTAGGTATCAGTGTTCTAGGTATAATACAGAATATTGTTATACACTAGGTATCAGTGTTCTAGGTATAATACAGAATATTGTTATACACTAGGTATCAGTGTTCTAGGTATAATACAGAATATTGTTATACACTACGTATCAGTGTTCTAGGTATAATACAGAATATTGTTACACACTAGGTATCAGTGTTCTAGGTATAATACAGAATATTGTTATACATTAGGTATCAGTGTTCTAGGTATAATACAGAATATTGTTATACACTAGGTATCAGTGTTCTAGGTATAATACAGAATATTGTTATACATTAGGTATCAGTGTTCTAGGTATAATACAGAATATTGTTATACACTAGGTATCAGTGTTCTAGGTATAATACAGAATATTGTTATACAATAGGTATCAGTGTTCTAGGTATAATACAGAATATTGTTATACACTAGGTATCGTTGTCAGTGTTCTAGGTATAATACAGAATATTGTTATACACTAGGTATCAGTGTTCTAGGTATAATACAGAATATTGTTATACACTAGGTATCAGTGTTCTAGGTATAATACAGAATATTGTTATACACTAGGTATCAGTGTTCTAGGTATAATACAGAATATTGTTATACACTAGGTATCAGTGTTCTAGGTATAATACAGAATATTGTTATACATTAGGTATCGTTGTCAGTGTTCTAGGTATAATACAGAATATTGTTATACACTAGGTATCAGTGTTCTAGGTATAATACAGAATATTGTTATACATTAGGTGTCAGTGTTCTAGGTATAATACAGAATATTGTTATACATTAGGTATCGTTGTCAGTGTTCTAGGTATAATACAGAATATTGTTACACACTAGGTATCAGTGTTCTAGGTATAATACAGAATATTGTTATACATTAGGTATCAGTGTTCTAGGTATAATACAGAATATTGTTATACACTAGGTATCAGTGTTCTAGGTATAATACAGAATATTGTTATACATTAGGTGTCAGTGTTCTAGCTATAATACAGAATATTGTTATACACTAGGTATCGTCGTCAGTGTTCTAGGTATAATACAGAATATTGTTATACACTAGGTATCAGTGTTCTAGGTATAATACAGAATATTGTTACACACTACAGTGTTCTAGGTATCAGAATATTGTAATACAGTGTTTCTAGGTATAATACAGAATATTGTTATACACTAGGTATCAGTGTTCTAGGTATAATACAGAATATTGTTATACACTAGGTATCAGTGTTCTAGGTATAATACAGAATATTGTTATACACTAGGTATCAGTGTTCTAGGTATAATACAGAATATTGTTATACACTAGGTATCGTTGTCAGTGTTCTAGGTATAATACAGAATATTGTTATACACTAGGTATCAGTGTTCTAGGTATAATACAGAATATTGTTATACACTAGGTATCAGTGTTCTAGGTATAATACAGAATATTGTTATACACTAGGTATCAGTGTTCTAGGTATAATACAGAATATTGTTATACATTATGTATCGTTGTCAGTGTTCTAGGTATAATACAGAATATTGTTATACACTAGGTATCAGTGTTCTAGGTATAATACAGAATATTGTTATACTAGATGTATCAGTGTTCTAGGTATAATACAGAATATTGTTATACATTAGGTATCGTTGTCAGTGTTCTAGGTATAATACAGAATATTGTTATACATTAGGTATCGTAGGTATCGTTGTCAGTGTTCTAGGTATAATACAGAATATTGTTATACACTAGGTATCAGTGTTCTAGGTATAATACAGAATATTGTTACACACTAGGTATCAGTGTTCTAGGTATAATACAGAATATTGTTATACACTAGGTATCAGTGTTCTAGGTATAATACAGAATATTGTTATACATTAGGTATCGTTGTCAGTGTTCTAGGTATAATACAGAATATTGTTATACACTAGGTATCAGTGTTCTAGGTATAATACAGAATATTGTTACACACTAGGTATCAGTGTTCTAGGTATAATACAGAATATTGTTATACATTAGGTATCGTTGTCAGTGTTCTAAGTATGTTATGCTATATATTGTAAATATTGTTATTTTATTCCGTCGTACTACAAAGTCTGGTGATGTTATCACGTGAAAAAGATAACTTCACAAACGTCAAGTATTTTATACGAGTGAAATGTATAATTGTGCGAAGATTAACCCTGTTGGGCCCCCTGTGGACCTACTTTGTATAGCTGTAATCAGTGTTTCTACTGTGGTAGTTCATGTATAATATGCTTAATTATAGAGTTTTAAATTCGCCTTCAACTCAAAAATGTTCAGTATTCATTTTTGTGCCTTTGTGATATTATATTATCGAAGGGATCACGTTAAACCGTCTAAAAGCCAGAATTTTTATTGTCTGGGATTTTTTTTGTAGTGCGCGACATATTTATCGTCTTTTTTATGTCTTCAGGACTAGGACTTTATTTAATCGCATTGTGTCAAGATATTATTATTAATTGATAGATATTGAAACGTCTACGTGATATAATTTTATTTACATAATAAAATGTTTTTATTTACGTACACCTGGTCTTCGAAAATCAATACTGCATGTCAACATGTCCTTTCCTAGTATATATCACTGACCTTTCCTAGTATATATCACTGACCTTTCCTTTCCTAGTATATATCACCGACCTGTCCTTTCCTAGTATATATCACTGGCCTTTCCTAGTATATATCACTGACCTTTCCTAGTATATATCACTGACCTTTCCTAGTATATATCACTGACCTTTCCTTTCCTAGTATATATCACCGACCTGTCCTTTCCTAGTATATATCACTGACCTGTCCTTGCCTAGTATCTATCACTGACCTTTCCTAGTATATATCACTGACCTTTCCTAGTATATATCACTGACCTTTACTAGTATATATCACTGACCTGTCCTTTCCTAGTATATATCACCGACCTGTCCTTTCCTAGTATATATCACCGACCTGTCCTTTCCTAGTATATATCACAGTCCTGTTATTTCCTAGTATATATCACTGACCTGTCCTTTCCTAGTATATATTACTGTCCTTTCCAAGTATATATCACTGACCTTTCCTAGTATATATCACTGACCTGTCCTGGTATATATCACTGACCTTGCCTAGTATATATCACTGACCTTTCCTTTCCTAGTATATATCACCGACCTGTCCTGGTATATATCACCGACCTGTCCTGGTATATAACACCGACCTGTCCTTTCCTAGTATATATCACTGTCCTTTCCTAGTATATATCACGGACCTGTCCTTTCCTAGTATATATCACCGACCTGTCCATTCCTAGTATATATCACCGACCCTTCCTGGTATATATCACCGACCTGTCCTTTCCTAGTATATATCACTGACCTTTCCTAGTATATATCACTGACCTTTCCTAGTATATATCACCGACCTGTCCTTGCCTAGTATATATCACTAACCTGTCCTGGTATATATCACTGACCTTGCCTAGTATATATCACCGACCTGTCCTTTCCTAGTATATATATATCACTGACCTGTCCTTGCCTAGTATATATCACCGACCTGTCCTTTCTTAGTATATATCACCGACCTGTCCTGGTATATATCACCGACCTGTCCTTTCCTAGTATATATCACTGACCTTTCCTAGTATATATCACTGACCTGTCCTTTCCTAGTATATATCACCGACCTGTCCTGGTATATATCACTGACCTTGCCTAGTATATATCACCGACCTGTCCTTTCCTAGTATATATCACTGACTTTTCCTTTCCTAGTATATATCACTGACCTTACCTATTATATATCACTGACCTGTCCTGGTATATATCACCAACCTGTCCTTTCCTAGTATATATCACCGACCTTTCCTTTCCTAGTATATATCACCGACCTGTCCTTTCCTAGTATATATCACCGACCTATCCTTTCCTAGTATATATCACTGACCTTGCCTAGTATATATCACCGACCTGTCCTGGTATATATCACTGACCTGTCCTTTCCTAGTATATATCACTGACCTTTCCTTTCCTAGTATATATCACTGACCTTACCTAGTATATATCACTGACCTGTCCTAGTATATATCACCAACCTGTCCTTTCCTAGTATATATCACCGACCTGTCCTTTCCTAGTATATATCACCGACCTGTCCTTTCCTAGTATATATCACCGACATGTCCTGGTATATATCACCGACCTGTCCTTTCCTAGTATATATCACTGACCTTTCCTAGTATATATCACTGACCTGTCCTTTCCTAGTATATATCACCGACCTGTCCTGGTATATATCACCGACCTGTCCTTGCCTAGTATATATCACCGACCTGTCCTTTCCTAGTATATATTACAGACCTGTCCTTTCCTAGTATATATCACCGACCTGTCCTTTCCTAGTATATATCACTGACCTTGTCTAGTATATATCACCGACCTGTCCTGGTATATATCACTGACCTGTCCTTTCCTAGTATATATCACTGACTTTTCCTTTCCTAGTATATATCACTGACCTTACCTATTATATATCACTGACCTGTCCTGGTATATATCACCAACCTGTCCTTTCCTAGTATATATCACCGACCTGTCCTTTCCTAGTATATATCACTGACCTTTCCTAGTATTTATCACCGACCTGTCCTGGTATATATCACCGACCTGTCCTTGCCTAGTATATATCACCGACCTGTCCTTTCCTAGTATATAGCACTGACCTGTCCTTTCCTAGTATATAGCACTGACCTGTCCTTGCCTAGTATATATCACCGACCTGTCCTTTCCTAGTATATATCACCGACCTGTCCTGGTATATATCACCGACCTGTCCTTTCCTAGTATATATCACTGACCTTTCCTAGTATATATCACTGACCTGTCCTTTCCTAGTATATATCACCGACCTGTCCTGGTATATATCACCGACCTGTCCTTGCCTAGTATATATCACCGACCTGTCCTTGCCTAGTATATATCACTGACCTGTCCTTTCTAAGTATATATTCTTATTTATATCTATAAACTGACACGTGCATTCGAAATATTATCATGACTTAATTGCTAATTCAACTTGTTTCGTGAATGCATGAAACGAGCACGCACTCATTATACCAAAGTTTTCTTCTGTCAGAAGTAAAGCTTACACAGCATTGCTTCACATTCGTGTCCGTCACTATTTAAAACACTGCTAGGTGTCGCCAGGCAATGTTGATAACTGCAATTGTGCTGGAGGTGATTGGCGATGTCATTGTCGTATGTGCGGAAAGCCGTACTCCTGGGCTGGTGAGTTACATTATATATCTATGTTGACAACTGATGATTCAACTTTGAACCGGTCAATTATCGTTTAGCTCACCTGGTCCGAATGTCCAAGTGAACTTACGCCGTGGTGCGGCGTCCGTCGCCTTTCGCCCGTCTGTCGTTCCGTCCGGCGTCAACTTTTCCATTTAAACGACTTCTTCTGACAAACTAATGGGCGCATAAGCATGGTTTCGGCTGATTGATCCCTATGATTCAGCGCTACCAACTTTGCAAAAGAAATGATCTTGACTCTTATTTAAGGTCACAGGGGTCAAATTTGTGAAAGTCTCAAAACAACCTTTGACTAGCTGAAAGGCGAAGAAGTTTGGTATTTGACTGACAGGTCTCTAGGATGAAGCCCCACAAAGTTTGCGAAAAGGAATGACCTTGACCTTTATTCAAGGTCACTGGGGTCGACATTTCAAAAAGATTTTTCATATGAGGTAACATTATCCTTGTTATCATCATCATCATCATCATCATCATCATCATCATCATCATCATCATCATCATCATCATCATCATCATCATCATCATCATCATCATCATTCATCATCATCATCATCATCATCATCCTCATCCTTAACACCAACATCTTCAAAATCATCGTCATCGTCGTCGTCATCGTTGTTGTCGTCAATTGATGATTTAGATATAATAATGATTATTGCAAGTTATTACTTATATAATAATGCCTATATATCTACACATACATACCCCTACACAAACACATCCTCACTTCTACGTAACCTATACCACGCAAATGTACAAATATATCCTATACATACGACACAAGGATATGTATATAGTAGGGAAAAACGGTAGTAAAACATAAACAAAGGCGAAAAAAAGACAGACAGCTAGACGTACAAACAGACAGACAGACAGAATAACAGACTTGAGTTATAACCAGTATGAGAGATCCTGAGAATAAAAAGTACAAATTTGTTTTTCGGGTACTCTTGTAAATAAAAGTTAAAGTTAATTAGCATACACAACTCTGACGTACGCTGTCTAATTTTGTGTTGTCAATACTACAAATTCTAAAAATACTGTTGGAGAAGGGGAGAATTATACATACCAATCGAATATACATTCATAAAATACAATTGTCAGGGTTAGATAAGATCAATTTCAACTAATTTCAACATTTTTTTCATTCAGAAGTTACTCTTTTAAGATTTCGTTGTTCCCCTTTACGAAGAACAATATATTTCTGGACCCAGTAGTAACCTTGAATCAAATAAAAAAAGACCTTTAACATTAAGTGACCAGTGTAAACATCTAGTTTTGTATATATACTGTTTAAACTTTATTATCAATTCTAGCATAAATTCCAGTTTGGCT